TCTCACCATCTCTCTCACACCATCTCTCTCACACCATCTCTCACACCATCTCTCTCACTCCATCTCTCTCACACCATCTCTCCATCTCTCTCACACCGTCTCTCTCACACCATCTCTCTCACACCATCTCTCTCCCACCATCTCTCACCATCTCTCTCTCCCCCTCTCTCACACCATCTCTCTCCCCCTCTCTCACACCATCTCTCTCACACCATCTCTCTCACCATCTCTCTCACACCATCTCTCTCTCCATCTCTCTCACACCATCTCTCTCACACCATCTCTCTCCATCTCTCTCTCACAATATCTCTCTCTCCATCTCTCTCACACCATCTCTCTCACACCATCTCTCTCACACCATCTCTCTCACACCATCTCTCTCACACCATCTCTCTCTCCATCTCTCTCACACCATCTCTCTCACACCATCTCTCTCCATCTCTCTCTCACACCATCTCTCTCTCCATCTCTCTCACACCATCTCTCCATCTCTCTCACACCATCTCTCTCCATCTCTCACACCATCTCTCTCTCCATCTCTCTCTCACCATCTCTCTGTCCATCTCTCTCACACCATCTCTCTCTCGATCTCTCTCACACCATCTCTCCCCCTCTCTCACACCATCTCTCTCACACCATCTCTCTCACACCATCTCTCTCACCATCTCTCTCACACCATCTCTCTCACACCATCTCTCACACCATCTCTCTCACACCATCTCTCTCACACTATCTCTCTCACCATCTCTCTCACACCATCTCTCTCACACCATCTCTCTCACCATCTCTCTCACACCATCTCTCTCTCCCCCTCTCTCACACCATCTCTCCCCCTCTCTCAGACCATCTCTCTCTCCATCTCTCTCTCCATCTCTCTCACACCATCTCTCCCCCTCTCTCACACCATCTCTCTCTCCCCCTCTCTCACACCATCTCTCCCCCTCTCTCACACCATCTCTCTCACACCATCTCTCTCACACCATCTCTCTCTCCCCCTCTCTCTCTCCCCCTCTCTCACACCATCTCTCTCTCCATCTCTCTCACACCATCTCTCTCACACCATCCCTCTCTCCCCCTCTCTCACACCATCTCTCTCTCTCCATCTCTCTCACACCATCTCTCTCACCATCTCTCTCACACCATCTCTCTCACCATCTCTCTCTCTCCATCTCTCTCACACCATCTCTCCCCCTCTCTCACACCATCTCTCTCTCCCCCTCTCTCACACCATCTCTCCCCCTCTCTCACACCATCTCTCTCACACCATCTCTCTCACACCATCTCTCTCTCCCCCTCTCTCACACCATCTCTCCCCCTCTCTCACACCATCTCTCTCACACCATCTCTCTCACACCATCTCTCTCCCCCTCTCTCACACCATCTCTCTCTCCCCCTCTCTCACACCATCTCTCTCACACCATCTCTCTCACACCATCTCTCTCACACCATCTCTCTCACACCATCTCTCTCTCCATCTCTCTCACACCATCTCTCTCACACCATCACTCTCTCCCCCTCTCTCACACCATCTCTCTCTCCATCTCTCTCACACCATCTCTCTCACCATCTCTCTCACACCATCTCTCTCACCATCTCTCTCTCTCCATCTCTCTCACACCCTCTCTCCCCCTCTCTCACACCATCTCTCTCTCCCCCTCTCTCACACCATCTCTCCCCCTCTCTCACACCATCTCTCTCACACCCTCTCTCTCACACCATCTCTCTCTCCCTCTCTCTCACACAATCTCTCCCCCTCTCTCACACCATCTCTCTCACACCATCTCTCTCACACCATCTCTCTCCCCCTCTCTCACACCATCTCTCTCTCCCCCTCTCTCACACCATCTCTCTCACACCATCTCTCTCACACCATCTCTCTCACACCATCTCTCTCACACCATCTCTCTCTCCATCTCCTCCTCTCTCACACCATCTCTCTCTCTCACCATCTCTCCCCCTCTCTCACACCATCTCCCCCCCCCCCTCTCTCTCCCCCTCTCTTCTCCCCCTCTCCCCCCCTCCCTCTCTCCCCGTCTCTCTCCCTCTTTCGCTCTCCCCTCGTCACGGCCCACTCCCTGTCAACACCGTGGCCATGTGGAACTCATTAGCGAGGGGGGGGGTGGTGGGAGGTGGGGGCGGGCTGACTCCCCCCCCCCCTCTTCCCCCTGTGCTTAGTGGGTGGGAGAGTGAGTGGGTGGGTGGGTGAGTGGGTGGGTAGATGGGTGAGTGGGTGAGTGGGTGGGTAGATGGGTGGGTGAGTGGGTGGGTGAGTGGGTGGGTGAGTGGGTGAGTGGGTGAGTGGGTGGGTAGATGGGTGGGTGAGTGGGTGGGTGAGTGGGTGAGTGAGTGGGTGAGTGGGTGAGTGGGTGAGTGGGTGGGTAGATGGGTGGGTGAGTGGGTGGGTGAGTGAGTGGGTGAGTGGGTGAGTGGGTGAGTGGGTGAGTGGGTGGGTAGATGGGTGGGTGAGTGGGTGGGTGAGTGGGTGAGTGAGTGGGTGAGTGGGTGAGTGGGTGGGTAGATGGGTGGGTGAGTGGGTGAGTGACTGGGTGGGTGGATGAGTGGGTGGGTGAGTGGGTGAGTGAGTGAGTGGGTGGGTGACTGAATTGGTGGGTGAGTGGGTGGGTGGGTGAGTGGGTGGGTGGGTGAGTGGGTGAGTCGGTGGGTGAGTGGGTGGGTGAGTGGGTGAGTGGGTGGGTAGATGGGTGGGTGAGTGGGTGGGTGAGTGGGTGGGTGATTGAGTGAGTGGGTGGGTGATTGGGTGAGTGGGTGAGTGGGTGGTGGGTGAGTGGGTGAGTGGGTGAGTGGGTAACTGGGTGGGTGAGTGGGTGAGTGAGTGGGTAAGTGGGTGAGTGGACGGGTGATTGGGTGAGTGGGTGAGTGGGTGGGTGAGTGGGTGGATGAGTGGGTGGTGGGTGAGTGGGTGACTGATTGCGTGAGTGAGTGCGTGAGTGAGTGGGTGAGTGGGTGGGTGAGTGGGTGAGTGGACGGGTGATTGGGTGAGTGGGTGAGTGGGTGAGTGGGTGGGTGAGTGGGTGGGTGAGTGGGTGGTGGGTGAGTGGGTGACTGATTGCGTGAGTGAGTGCGTGAGTGAGTGGGTGAGTGGGTGGGTGAGTGGGTGGGTGATTGGGTGGGTGGGTGACTGGATGGATAGGTGAGTGGGTGAGTGGGAGGGTGATTGGGTGAGTGAGTGTGTGAGTGGATAGGTATGTGAGTGGGGTTGCCCCTAGGCTACACAGCAACAGCAGACTAATACACAGAGACAGCTGTCACTGGGGGCGCCCCCTAGGCTACACAGCTACACAGCAGCAGCAGACTAATACACAGAGACAGCTGACACTGGGGGTGCCCCTAGGCTATACAGGAGAGTTACAGAGAGATAGAGAGTAGGGGAGAGTGTGAGAGAGTCAGACACACAGAGAGAGAGAGGAGACCAACAGTGAGTGAGATAGAGAGTAGGGGAGAGTGTGAGAGAGTCAGACACAGAGAGAGAGAGAGAGGAGACCAACAGTGAGTGTGATAGAGAGTAGGGGAGAAAGTAAGAGAGTCAGACACACACAGAGAGTTGACACCAACAGTGAGTGAGATAGAGACTAGAGGCGAGAGTGAGAGAGTGAGAGACACACAGAGAGAGTGAGAGACTAGGGGAGAGCGAGAGAGAGTCAGACAAACATAGACACACAGAGAGAGTTAACACCAACAGTGAGTGAGATAGAGAGTGGGGGAGAGAGTGAGAGAGAGTGAGAGAGTGAGTCAGAGAGAGTGAGAGAGTGAGTCAGAGAGAGTGAGAGTGTGAGAGAGTCAGAGACACACACAGAGAGAGAGAGTTAACACCAACAGTGAGTGAGATAGAGACTAGGGGAGAGAGTGAGAGAGTGAGAGAGTAGGAGAGAGAGTGAGAGAGTCAGACACACAGAGACACACACAGAGAGTTGACACCAACAGTGAGTGAGATAGAGACTAGGGGAGAGAGTGAGAGAGAGTGAGAGAGTAAGAGAGAGTGAGAGAGTCAGACACACAGAGACACACAGAGAGAGAGAGGACACCAACAGTGGGTGAGATAGAGAGTAGGGGAGAGAGTGAGAGAGTGAGAGAGTAGGGGAGAGAGTCAGAGAGTCAGAGACACACACACACAGAGAGGAGACCAACAGTGAGTGAGATAGAGACTAGGGGAGAGAGTGAGAGAGTCAGACACACACACAGAGTGAGAGAGTCAGACACACAGA